GGGAGTGCTGATTAACCCAGTCCTCTCAGACGTGCTCTGTTAATGTGGGTGTTCATCTGATTCTGGGGCTGGAAGAATCCAGCCCTGGGGAACCTAGGACCTGCAGGGTAGCTCCATTGGGAGGGAACTTGCAGACAGGAGAAGTAGAGCTCCGTATGAGAACACAAGTGACACAAGCAGTACATTGATAGAAGTACAGAACCCCCCTGAAGAGTAACCCTAATGAATGAGCATACCCCAAAGTAACGGGCAAATCTGGTAACAGAAGTTATTCTGCCCCAACACTACTGAAGATAAGTAAATAAACTGGTATAATCACCCTGAAAGCCAGTGTGGTACAGAGCCTAGGACTGGAGTTTGACCTGGATTCTGTGCCTGCAGTGAGTGACCTTGCATAAGGTATTTAAAGCTTGGGGCGGGGGGAGGAGGAGTGTTCAGCAGCTGTTCCCTAACCAGCTTCTAGGTTGGGGTTCATGGTATCAGTTAATCATAAGGATAGGGAACTGCTTGGCAATTTATACAGCATTTAGAACAGGGGAGATTTGAACTCCTGGGCTCTTGTTTCCAACTCAGGGAGCTTTCTCCTACATTCCAGGGGTATTTGGTGAGGGAGTCAGAGCGCGTCACTCAATTTTTTAGCTTTCCTCAGAAGTAAGTGACTGCAGATCTGCTATGGCATGAATGCTACTGAACTGCAATCTGGAGGATTTTGCCTGGCAAAAACTTTGTTGTTACTGTTAAAAAGTTATCAGTGTTTTATAGGCAAACATTCCCGCTGCATAACTCATATTCTAGGAACCAGCATATGGGGAGCAACAACGTGGCCAAAGGAGAGGGCCCAGAGTGCTTTAGATTTCTTGAAAAAAAGGGGTGACCAAGACACGGAAGACAAGCCAGTGAAAAATTTGCATAAATGAGTGACTTTTACAGGTTTGTTACTATCAGTTCATTTTTCATCGAACTGCCATGAAAAATTCAGATTGTGCTTAAAGCTTTGATTCCATGGCTTGGTTTTTGCCATTTCAATGAGACTTTCACAAAACAAAGATGTAAAGCACCTCTTAAAACTCAGCTCTGTAACACAACCCTAACTATCGTGATGTTACCTCTGCATCATATGCTCTTCAAGGCAGGGATTGAGACTTACTATATGCGTATACCATGCAGTTCTGATCTCAGGTGGGGTCTCTAGTCCAAAATAAATCTTGCAAATAATAAACTTAATTCATCCTGGCATGAAACTTCTGAACTGAGACCTAGACCAAAAACTCAAACTCAGCTGTACAATGGAGGGAGGAGAGGCAATACATGATCACAATTAAAATTTGAGAGAAAATCCCAAGGAAATGTACAAAGTTAAAAAGAGCACAGCTAGCAATAGCTAATGAAAGTAGCTCACCCAGCAAGCTTTTCCCAATACTGCTTTGTCATTTCAGGAACAAAATAAACTTGTGGCACTCAATGTGTAAACCAACAGGAATCACTACAGAAGCAGTGAGCAGTAAAGCCTCTAGAAGCATCCCTGAAAATAATCCATCAATCACAGCAGGCAGAGTTTGCAACAAAATGGAAAACTTCTATTTAGCCAGTGGCCTTTGATTTAAAAGACAAACTTGGGGCTTGACCCTGCACAGTTCTGGGCACTTCACAGAAGTGCTGAGTGTCTTCAGCTGGAGCGAGGGCCCAATTCAGCAAAGCAATTAAGCACAGGCTTAAAGTGTCAGTGACTGAAAGCATGTGCTGGAAGTCAAGCACCTACTTCAGCGTTTATTGAATAGGAATGGATTTATGCCCTCCTTACATGGTTTACTCAATCAGGGCCTATGCACCCTGGCTTCAGGTTTCATGAACAGCTGCACAGGGCAGCTGGAAGACACAGTGATGACCAATGATTTCTTCTCCCTGTCCCCTTTCCCCCCCAACAATTTAAAATGAACAAACAAATACATCCAGCTGGCATTTTACAGCCAATAGCTAAGTAATTGCAGAGCAAGAAATGGTTTCCCAACAGAGCCCCTATTTAATCACTGCAATAGCCATGGAAAAATGTGTGTACTGAAAGGGCCAGATCCTCAGCTGGTGTAAATCTATGTAGCTCCACTGACTTTAATGGAGCTATGCCAATTTAACCCTCTGGTGGAACTGGCCCATACAGTGCAGTTCATTAGAGTACCTGAAAACAATTTACAGTATTATTCCTGTTTCATAGATGGGGAAACTGAGACACAGAGTGGCCAATGTTTTCAAAATTGGGTACCTAAAGTTAAGCCCCTAAATCCATATACAAGCACTCAAATGAGCAGCCTGAATTTCAGAGGTGCTGGACATCCAATTAAGTAAAATGTGTGTGCTCGGCTGGAGACACTCAGCATCTCACAGGACTGAGCCCGTCATGAGAAATCATTACATTTTCATACAACCTGCAAACAAGCTGAATGAAGCTGATCAGTCTTCCCATGCCTCCAGGCCTGAGTGGTTAACTGAGATTAAAGAACACTAGAGTGATTATGGTAGCTCAAGATCTGATCCATTAGCTGCTTCAATAGTTCTTATTGTAATTGCGTGACAATTGTCAGAATTATCCTCCCCCTATATATAGTAAGGGCTAGTCTACACTGGCAATGCTAAAGTGTTGCCGCGGCAGTGCTTTAACATGCCTAAAAAAAGCCACCTCAACGAGGGGCGTAGCTCCCAGCACTGGGGCACTGTTTACACTGGTGCTTTACAGCGCTGAAACGTGCTGCATTCGGGGGGGTGTTTTTTCACACCCCTGAGTGAGAAAGTTGCAGCGCTGTTAATTGCCAGTGAAGACAAGCCCTAAGTTAGGGTACCCAAAAAAGGCCAGAGGATCAAATGCACCTCACAGGCCCTAAAGTACAGCTAATAGCTGATCAAATCTAGGCTATTATTGCTGGTGACCTTCAAACAAGCAATTTCTATTCATCCGTCAAAAAAGGGACCAGTACAAGCAATGTTACAGTGGGCTTGTAAGGATAAGGCCTGTAGCCATATTGTAAGGCCTAAGGCCTTCGTCCGCAGCCAGGTTAAAAGAGCAGCAGCCATTAGCTGAGAAGCAGGAAGTCACATCCTCACATTCCATCTAAATTACATTAAAACAATGTAATATCAGGCTGTTAAGGAGACCCCGTCCTAATAGCACCCACTATCACCAGATAAAGAAACAGAGCGTAAGATGGTTAACGAAAACTTAAGTTTGATAGCATTCTGCCTGGCAAGAAACCACTTATCAATAGTTATGGTTGTGAAATCCTCATTTCTTTATTGTTTTGTCATTATGGTGCCCACTTCCTTACTGTTTGTCTGTAAGATCTCTGTCTGATTCTTTGATCGTTTCCGTCTGTTACATAATTAATTTTGCTAGATGTAAATTAATTAAGGTGGTGGGGTATGATTGGTTAGAGAATTTTGTTAGGATTGGTTAATAAAATTTTAGTAAAATAATGGGTTAAGGTATAGCTAAGCAGGACTCATGTTTCACTATATAAACTGGGGTCCAAAAGGAAGTTCTTTGGGAACCAGCTCCAGGACACAGCCCCATCAGAGCTGCCAGACCGCAACACTCTGCCAATAACACTGTGCAGAAACTGGAGTCCCCCAGATGGACCTGACCCCGACTGGCCAGCAGGGAAAAGTTCATCTGTCCTATTGGGAGTGGTGAGCATTGTATGTGTAGCGTGTGCATTCTGGTTTTGGTGATTGGTAATAAACAGAGGATAAAGATATTACTGTGTAAGGCTCTTTCACGGGTAAAAGGTCCTGCAAACCTGCAGAAAATTACACTCTGAGCCCTAGGAACAGGGTAAGGGTGGGTGCCCTAGAGTGTAAGGTTATGCCTGAGCCCACAGAAGGGTACGAGTGGGTGCCTAAATTAAGAGGGTTACGCCTTGAGCCCTCGGAACTGGGTAAAGGTGGGTGCCCCTAGAGTGTGTGAGTAACAGAGAATTTTGTGTGGGTAACCGGCTGAGTTCACACTTTTCATTAGTGATGTAAATTTATTTGCAAATCAGATGCAGCCCATTGCTCCTGGCAAGTTGACACCAGGGGTGTCACAAAGTGAGGTCACCTCTGCTTTTAGCTGTGTTCTTCAAAGCTCTACACAGGTTTATTTTATTCCCCATCAATGAAGCTCCTCGCAGACTTTATGAAAAGCCTTTTCAGGAAGGTAACGACGAGAAAAATCAAAGTGCTTCCAGCTTTTATAAAAAAGATAGAGATAAATGGGTAAACAGAGGAAATGACTGACATTAGACCCCCCCCCCCCATTGCCAGGGGGTTACAGGAATATCCTGATTCTGCTAGATTCTGGTTCAACAAAGACCGTCATGTGAGGTCTTAAATGAAAACCAGGGTCACACTGGTTGTTAATACCGTTGTGAAGTGTACATACAGTATACGGAAAATATGTTTTTAGATTCTGTATCACAGCAGAGGTGGAGAAACAGGTTTCCTGTCAGATTGTTTATTCACCTGTCTCTCTGTCAGATGAAAGCTAACACAACGGACATCCATCTACATACGAACGTACGGAAGGAATGTGAAGTCAACAAGGCAGCACCACATAGGAAAACAAGCCATGGGGCAGATGGGGGGTTATACTATCTGAGTAGACAGTAAACGGGGGAAGAGGGGAGGGATATAGGTAGGAAGCAAGGAAGACTTCCATCATAATGACCCAGACTGGAAGCAGTCACAGAGATGAGTACTGGACTTTCTCAATCGATTCCAGATTCATCCCAGAACTGCCATCAGTCTCAATTGCAAACTGTACTCGGGCCAGGCATTTATGATTACAGTCACAGTGAAGTACAGGAGAGAGAAACCATGGGTCAGATCCTTAGCTGATGACTTCAACAGAGCTATGTCAGTTTACACCAGCTGAGGATCTGTATATACCTGTCCAGGAAAAGAATTAGATTATCTCAGAGCCTCAGGAATGTAAGAGAACCAAACCAATCTGCAGGCAGGCAGATGCCACTTACCCACTTAGAGGTCTTGTTTTCCTAATTTCAAAGAACTGAGTTCCTGTGTGATTGTATCTGGATTTTGTCATTTAAAGTAAAGTAACTTTAAGAAAGAGTCAGACAACAAAACAATAAAGCTCACCAAGGTGATGGAAAGTCTCTTCTCACTCTCAAATCGTAATTTCCGCTGAAAGCATAAAGCGGGTACTAAAATGCCACCGACTCTCATGGCAGAAATTAAATCCTATATATGTGAAATAAAACTGAATTCTATTTTCTCAACTGTGAGGAGATGCAAGTGAAAGAGGTTGTTAAATCTGATCCAAATATTAAATGCTGCAAGAGATAATTATTAATTTTCTTGCCATCTCAGATCTCTCTCCTGTTAGTATGGGGGATGGGGAAGGAAAGAATCACAATGGAAAAGAGAAGTAAAGTTTATAAATCTATCTAGAACAGTCCACCTCATTCATTGTTAAAGAATGCTCATAACCTCCCCTTCATGCAAAAAGAATCGTGCTATTCATGTAGGTTTCCCTATAGGCAACATGTGGCTGATAATTTCCAAATATAAACAGATGCAAGTCATTCTCCATGACAGCAAGACAACGAGAACATCTGTTAACAATATGAGGTGAGGAATGAGCCACAAGCTCATAGCACACAGCGCGCTAGTGGAAAAACAAAATGTCAGGCCCATTTAACTGAATGTACCTCTGACTCTCAGCACCAGTGGTGTGAATTTTCAGAACAACTGAGCACCCGCAGCTCCCACTGACTTCAGCTGGAGTTGTGGATGCTCAGCGCTTATGAAAATCAGGCCCTACAGACAAAACAGAGCCTGAGGTCTGAGCTGGGTTGCCCTTACTCGGAGCATTCTGAGTGAAACAGAGGGGCATGATAGCCCTCAATGAGAAACCAAAACCCTGCATTTGAAACCCAGCAGACTTTGAAGCCTGTTTAGGTCTGGATCCAAACTTTCAGTTCTCTAGGCCATCTCTAGCACCTACCAAGTAGAGTGGTGTCTACTTTTTAAATTTAAAAATCCCACATATGCATTTCATAGTGTGACAGAGCCTCCTGTCTGCATCACACCGTTCCTCCCTTTCATGAATATTAACAGAGCTCACTGTGTCTGAGTAGCAATCATGCACCAAGGAGTAAAGCAATTCCAGGTCCAAACCTAGCCAAAATTATGTGCTCTCTAAACAACAGATTAGCCATGCCTCTCCCGCTCAGGTTCAGCTGCTGCTGTAACTTCTGCTGGTGCTTTGATCTTTATTGCTGCTCTGCCTGGCCTACCAAACTTCCTGCTATTTTTGGAAACTCTTCCAACTGCCTGTTTTCCCTCCAAATGCTCACCAGCCCCTCATGCGCCGTTGTTTCAATCTCCACTGCTTTTCCATCCAATAAAGACCCCCCAAAAAGTTACAAGAGGGCAGAAATAACTGGCAAATGGAACAAGATGAAAGAGGCTAATTCAATATTTACTCCTGAGGGCACTCTGCACCAAAAAATTTAAAATGCTGCGCACAATATTTTAAAATTCTGCAAATTTTATTTGTCAAATAAATGTGGAGGCTCCAGCATGGCATTGGGGAGCACAGGCCACCGGCTGCACAGAGGTGGGAGATCACTGTGCAGCTTCCCTCCCCCCCCAGGATACGGACTCAGCAGTGAGGCTGCACCCAACCCTGACACAGCACAAGGACCGGACCTGCCCCCAAAACACCCAAGGGCCCTATCCCTCCATGCCAAGTGCACCAGGTGTGGGCAGGCAGGCTCAGCAATGCAGGATCCTCAAGTGGAGGGCTTAGTGTGGGGGCATCCAGATGTGAGTTGAAAGGGCTCTGTGTGGGGCAATCTGGGTGTGGGGGGCTTAAAAAGGTGGGGGGGTCCAGATGCTGGGGGAGTGAGGCTCTGGGGTGGGGATCCAAGTGCAGCTGCTTGGGGCTCGGTAGGGTGGTGATCGGGGGGGGGGGGGGGGGTGGGGGGGGTCTGGAGGAGGGGGGGGGGGGGGATGGGGGAGCAGCTCCCCGTACAGGGATCCCTCCCCCTGCAGCTGAGGAGTGATGAGTGCAGGAAGCGCGGAGCGGTGGGCGCAGTTTGTAGAGCTTCCTACAGCTGAGGCAGATATCTGGAGGGTGGGTCTAATACAGCTGACAGCTGAGCTTGGCGCAGGGCAGGAGCCACCAGCCGGATCTTCTCCAGTCCTGCCCCCTGCCCCACAGTAATTTACCTTTCTGCCGGCTGCCCTGAGCACCCGAAACATACTGCTGGGGAGGGTCGCATGACCGCTCTTGTGGCTTCCCTTTGCTTCCCCGTCAGAAAGTCAATTTTCTGTTGAAGCAAAGAAATCTGCGGGGGACAAATTCTATGCATGTGCAGTGGCACAGAATTCCCCCAGGAGTAAATATTCTGGCCAGTGACTGCTCATTCCATCACTCTGCCCATGTGCCGTGGAAACACGATCAATGTTCAGCGGTGGGGAGAGAAGGGGAAGAAGGGGAAGAAATGCATGTAAGGTTCTGATTAAATCCATAAAAGCCAAGAAACTGAGAAGTGGCTCTCCCCTAAGCATCAAGCTCTACCACAGGGCATGTTCACAGACGTGCAGGTCTCACTCGGGGGGGCTGGTTTGGAGAGGTCAGGACCAGGTCTCCATCTCCATTCCCGGCACTTTGCTTCCCGGTGAGGAGAGCAGCAGCAAAAGTCCCCACGCAGAAATGCAGCAGGGGACTCTGTCTGTGTGTTTTGCTTGAGCAGTGGCTCAAGTTGAGGAGAGAAGGAGGCCACTTGTATGCCCTTCTGGAGTCCACTCTCAGGTAGCTGAGCAAGTGCAGCCCACCTCCTGGTGCACAGGCCCAGGGGCAGCCGAATCCCTCCCTCAGTGAAAAGCGTTAGCTGTGGCTGAGAAGGTGTGGGTCAGATTCAGCCTGGAGGGGAAAAACGCTGTAATCACAGGCTGCAGCGAAATTGGGAAAGGGGTGGATAGTGGCAATGCAAACTGAAAGTGAGCTATCGGGAGAGGCTGGAATATATTACTCCAGGCGCCGTGAATGCTGATCATTTTGAAATTGGCTTAGGAGGTTGTTCTGAACATTCCTATTCATCTATTGAGTTGGCACTTCAGTTAAATTCTGCTCAGTGTCACTAAGAGCTAATTGTGTGGCCCTGAAGACCAGAATGAGGAGCTCGACGCTTAGGTAGTGTCACAAATCTCCACAAGTGCTGGCAGAGTGGGAGTTTTTTCCCTCCTGAATTATCCTCTGTCTTTGCGGCAGCCTTGTGTTTCAGTAAGTTACCCTGTGGGTTCAATGCAGAGTGTAATGACTCTGCCACCCACCCTAGGGCCAAACTCAAGAAGGATACTGCAGCATCTTCATGTAATTCTGTATTGCTTGAAGCCATTCTGGGATAGACATGGAGAGCCTGTAGTTTGGCACTGGCGGCACTGAAGGCTGAAAACAAAAAGGATAAAAAGATGATATTGGTTATTGCTTCCAGGACAGCAGCTAGAACAATTCGGCTCTCAAGGCAGGTGCTTAAAGGGATACAATTCAGAGTTTAGGGCCCGAGAGTGAAAACCCCATATGAAAGCAATCAGCTCCATGTAAATAGTGCAGATTCTGATCTCGGTTACAACAATGTGAACTATACGTTCACTGGAGTTACCCTGCATCTTCTCTGGTGGGACCACTGGCATGAGGAAGGGGCAGCCTTTAAATATCATCCTAGACTGAGAGATCCTGGCAGAGAAACCAAAAGCATTTGCGTTTTAAAACTAGAAAAACCAATTTCACTCAGATTAATGGAATCCCAATGCTGGATTTGTTCCGGACTCTTTAGAGTATTAACTTCAATTTTAATCTCTGGTTTTATCTATCTTGAGAGAGAGAGAGAGAGAGAGAGAGAGAGAGAGATGAATGGAGACAAAGAGCAACTTTGACAATACAAATTTTTCCATCTGCTGGTGGTCAGGGCTCGTTAACGGAGTGCAGCACTGGACCCTAAGTCTGCTGGTAGGGGCAAAGCTCAAGGATTCATCAGGCAGTCCCAGCTCAGCTTTTGCCGTACTGTCCTGCCACATTATAATGGTCATGGGGGAAGGGGAAGGGGACTGCCCTCACCTGTGACTAATTAGCTGCCTTCCCTGCTGAGGCTGTGGGGCTAGGGCTCAGGTGACAGTTTGAAGATCAGTTGGGGCCAGATTTTGGAAGTCAATGGGAGTTAGGAGCTTTTTGTAAATTCCACTGGGCACCTAAATACCTTTAAAAATCTGTCCTCCAATTCATGAGAGACTCCCAGGCAGACGGCCTGTGCAGTGCAATCCTGTAAGCGCTGGGTTAAAGGGCATAACTGATATGTTCAGATTGTGTTAACTAGTTTTTATTTTGAAGAAATAACTGAAGCCATGAAGAAAGGGACTGGCACCCCGTGGCTGGAGAGTGTTCTTTGGTCTGAGGGCTGGTCAAAGAGCTCACTAGTTTACAATGACCTAATCCCGACCCAAGACTTTGAGGTGCCAATTGATCTCAACCCCAACTAGTTTTCAGTGGGAATTTGGGACATTCAGTGGTTCACAGGAAGGACTCAGGCATTTACCGGTTCAAGCCTTTTTGGACAGGACCAGCTTCAAGGTCAGTTCTAGCTCCATGCCCGTTTAAAGCCAATTTCACCAAATCAAACAAACAATGTTGCATCACTGCCTTGAGGAGACACATCTCAGTCTCTGCCCATCACTGCCAGTCTAGAACTTCCCCAGGATATTTACTAAAGCTCCTTCTGTGCCAGCATTATAGGGCTCATTATTTTACCCAGCATTCTTCATCCTTTTGTATGAGTGATTAATGAATTAACACGACACAATAAATAAATAAATAAATAAAAGCCGTAACTTCACTAACCACTGCAGAAGGCAGTAGCCAGACACCACTATCCCTGCATTACAGACATACCAATTTGTTAAGCATAAAGCACTTGTATTAGGGAACCAAGTTCAGGAGGAGCTGTTTATTTAAAATACTAGGCCAAACTTTTCAAAAGTGTCTAGCAATTTTGAGGACTCCATTTTTGGGTGCCTGCTTGAGACACCTTAAAAAGGCCTGGTTTTCAAAGAGTGGGCAATCAGCACTTCCTGGGGAAAAAAGGGTCCCTTTAAAGTATCACAGACTGGGCACCAAAAAATCACCACAGGTTTTGAATATGTGGGTCTTAGGGCCCAATTCTACCATCAGAAACATGATACAATTCCATGGGAAAAACAAGTGATGAGTACATGGATTGCAGTCCTTTGGGAACTGCACCCACGTATTTGAAGGCAGAATTGGCCTTAAGAATTACCTCCCCATACCTTGTGATGGTAGAATAGTTTCAGATTGTTTCCCAAACTCCTGAATATTTCCTGCAAATCCCTTCAGTAAACTGCTATACTGCAGCTGTACCCACTTCCGATTGCCTAATACATTTGAACTCCAATTTATCATTTTAAACTAGTTTGAATGCTGTACTGAACAAGTAACAACTGCAATCATTATAAGCCTAATTTCAAGTAGACAATGTGTATTTGTAATAATGATATTAACACAGACTGAGCAATTCACACATCCATGGGTTGGGTATCAGGAGAGTAATGCTGAGAAAGAGTGGGTAAAATCTTGACACTGTTCATGCCAATAGCAAAACTTCTACTAGTTTCAATAGGTCCTTTCACCCAAGGTGTTTAGAAGACTCAGACAGGTTAGGCCCAAACTATAGGTTTTAGACAATTGCTACTAGCAGCCAGATGCGCGATCGGTCCTTTTTCAAAGACAAAAAAATAAAACAAAACACACATATACACACTATCCTCCAACATCAGTTACATGGAGAAAAAGTATGGGAAATCCTTTCAATGGAAAATATGACAGCCTAGGATCAAGACATTTATAATGTATGGTTACCATTTTCGGAGTTTGAATAAAAAACAAAACAAAAAAAACCAACCCCCAAACAATAAGACATTGACCAAACACAAATGTGTCTTTTAATGGTAACAAACACAGGTTATGAACCAGATTTGTTAATACTTGTATGGAAAGTTCATGTCTGTTAATAAGGTTTTTTTTAAAAATAGCTTTTAGGGGAGAAAAATATTTGTCAGCATCAACATGGGTAGTGTAAAGAGACTCATTCAGTATTATGGTAACACTATGTTAAACAGAGTGATCTGATTATTATATCAATCTATAAGGTCTCTCTAAACAAAAGCTCAGTTATAATGATCATTATTTTGTCTCTGATATTTACATGGCAAGGATTTGTAAACCTGTTAAAACCTCCTAAATAAATTAATAGTTAAACAAAGAAATGTTTTGTGTCTGCCGGCAAAATATTCCCTTTTACTTCTTGCAACCCAACCATTGGGACACTGTGCTGCTGCACACAGAGTAAAAATGGTGAAAAATAACATGGATTGTTTCAAATAATTTCAGGTTTAGTCATTTATGCTGCTGTAAATGTAAGAGTAAAATCACCCCTTTCTTTTTATGTTACACAGACACACCCACACTTTGGGTGGGCTATTCAAAAGCACTCAGTTAGCCGTACTCTGCTCCCACTGTGAAAACTCCCATTGACTTCCAGAGAAGCCGACTCAGGCCAACACCAAGCACTCCAACCCTTTATGTTTGTACAGCACCTAATAGAGACCCCAATCCTGATTGGGGCGCTTGGATGCTACCACCCTATAAATAATCAATAATCTCACAGTGTCCCATTAGGAATGACTAGATACTGAAGTTTTGTATGTATATGAAGTCAGAGAATGCAGTTTAAAATGATTTTTATCTTTTTTTAATCATGTGAGGTGCACACAGGCTCTCACAGACAGACACTACATGGCTCAGGAAAGGTCAGATTTGCAAGACTGTTATGCTTGAAACCATTCCACTATCAATTATGTTAAAGCATTAAGGATGGGTCTGCCTGGAATCCAGGAAGGCCAACCAGGGAACCCTGCTGTGTCTCAGAACCACAGAGCAGACAATTTTCCCCCAAAGTAGCAACCAAGGACCTGATCCTGCACGGCACTGAGCACCTTCAACTTTCACTGACTTCAGTGGGAGCTGAAGATGTTCAGCATTTCACAGGTGGTGCTCAGCACCCTGTAGGATTGGGCAGCAAGGGAAAAACAGACGTTTGTTTTCTGTGGAGCTCTCCATGCTCCAGCCGGCACTTTCCAAGTGCTTACAGCTCAAGCCCTGCAAGAATACTTTCAAACCTTGTGTGCTCAAACACACAGGGAACCTACAGGCAGTGCCAGAGTGAGAGAGAGAGAGAGGAAGGTGGCTGTGGAGGCACTATGCCTATGGGTAATGACTCCAGGGCACTGGGCAGCGAGCGCTTCTTTGCAAGTAGCTCTACAGGCACCATACAGTGAGACCGGGTCCTCACCAAGACACACATCTCTGAGGCTACTAGTGCTGACGGCAGTGCTGGCTGGCCTCCCCCACTTCTGCTCCCAAAGCACAAGCCACCTGCTACAGCTTCCTGAGCCCTCTCAACCTCTTCCTCCCAATGCACCCAGGCTGCTCAGACCCAGATTTGGCCCTTCATGCTGTGACAGAATTCTGTTCACGGATTCAAGGGTAATATTTGTTAGATGTGATACACCAGGCAAAGCAAGCACCTCAGGTTGAAAGCCTCTTACAATAAAGCCTGGAAGCAAAACAGATTAGTAGAAGTTAAATAGCTTAACTCCAGACAGGCCACTCTTCAATTTTCTTCTCACCCCCCAAAACTGCTAGGGAAAGACTGTTAACTAGAGCAAACAAGAGAACATGGATGCCCAGGACAGGTAACACTGATACAAATATTTCCCACGTAGGTCTGAAAACCAATATAATGCAAGAGAAATCTATGGGCCAGCCTCTCCAGTCTGTTAGGGCAAACCCTGCTGAGAATTCACCTTCTCCACTACCAGAAGAGTGATAGAAGCAACTTTATGAGTCACCCTCCTATCCCAGCAGAAAGAGAAGGAAGGGGCATGTTGGAGAATGGGGCGGGGAAAAGGGGTAGGGTTGCCAGGCATCCAGTTTTCGATTGGAACGCCCAGTTGAAAAGGGACCCTGGTGGCTCCAGTCAGCACTGCTGACCGAGCCATTAAAAGTACGGTCAGTGGCACAGCGGGGCTAAAGTAGGCTTCCTACCTGCCCTGGCTCCCTGCCTGCCCTGGGTCTGCGCAGCTCCTGGAAGCAGATGGCATGTCCCTGAGGTTCCTAGGCGCAGGGGCCACCATGGAGGCTCTGTGCACTGCCCCTGTCCCAAGTGCTGGCTCCGTGGCTCCCATTGGCCAGGAACTGCAGCCAATGGGAGCTGCAGGGGTGGCGCCTGCGGATGGGGGCAGCGCGCAGAGTCCCCTGGCCGCCCCTGTGCCTAGGAGCCAGAGGGACATGTCATCGCTTCCGGGAGCCTCCTGAGG